TGTAAATAATTTTTGTAAAAGACTGAAAGAAATAATAATACTGTGAAACAAAGTGTCATTCTGGTTTGTCTGTCTCTTTGCCTGTCTGTCCTTTCATTTTTCTTTTCTTTGCTCATCTTATTTCTTCTTCTACTTCACATGCTCATGCTCTTAGTCAATAGTTCTGTGACAATATATATATAAACTCCGACGAAACAGTTTGTCACAGCCCCTCGTTTGTTGTCCTCTTCTCTCTCTCTGCCTACGGTTTACCGGACAGTTCTGTTTGTGACGATATATAGATATATATATATCATACTTGCGGCGCATTAGTGCGGTGCGCGATGCGGTGCGCAGTGCGCGTCGGTGCTGTGCGCGCACTCATGCGTGATGCGCGCGCGCTCATGCGCAGTGCGCGCTGCACAGTGCGCTGCGCGACACTCCGGTGCGTAGTGCGCCGGTGCGCTGGGGCGTGCGCTGGGGCGTGCGCATGGCGAGCGCACTTTTGCGCATGGTGCGCCGTGGTATACATGGATTTTCTTTTTTTTTCGACGATACACAGTGATTATACACCGAGTTAATAATACTTAATATAAGGTATATTGTTTATAACTTTATATAACATTATAGTATGATTATACTGTGATTAATACTGATTATAGTATGATTATACTATGATTACAGTATTACGGGGAACCCCGTTAGAGTATTGCAGGAACCCCGTAGCAGCCAACGAGGGAACATGCGGGAGCTGCACCCGCCAACAGGTGCTTAGAGAATCAGCCTTTCTTTTTTATTTTTTTTAAAACGCAGGAAAGTTAAATAACATGCATTGATGTCTCTGATTTCACTCTTCTTGCAGGAGTCAGGCTCGGTGGCAGCATGCAGAACTCACCTGTAAGTCGTGTTGCACGTGCAATAGCGGCAGTGACATGTCCACCGTTTCCACACACAGCCATCACCAAAGTCAAAAACAGCAGACACGACAATCAGATCACAGCAAAGGAGAGCATGTCCACAGTTTCCACACACACAGCCATCACCAAAGTCAAAAACAGGAGATACAATCATACAACAGTTTCCAAGAATACAAAAGTTATGAAGTTATGAACCGAATTTCAAAGAGCACACAAACTGAAAATCTTCCAAAAAAAGTAAGAAAGACTCAAAATTCCGGAAACCTTCATCAGAAGGTAGAAAATGCGCCGAACACGGGGGACACTTGGGATTGTTAAAAGTCTGGCCTTTGAAAAACACGCAACAGCGTGAACACTACTTTGACTGTACTAACTGCGGCCGCTACTCTGCCTCCTCCCCCGACTCATGCTCCCTGCCAGACTCCTCCTGCGACTGCTCGTCCTCGGGACCCTCCTCCGATGATGACGCGGATGATGACGATTTGCCGCTTTCTTCGAACGACGATGACGTCGGTCCAGAAGAGTGCACTGCGGCCTGGGCACGCAGATTGTCATCGTCGTCCTCCATGATCGGGCCGCGCGCTTCCTCTTCGGCCTTGCCTCTGCAGCAGTGGATGCTTTTGCAGCCTTGGCGGCAGCCGCTTCGTCTTCTGCGGCCTTCTTCGCAGCCTCAGCTGCAGCCTTTGCAGCCTTCTTTGGCGGTGAAAGAGGAGGCCGCCCCCTCTTCCTTTTCGGCGGTGCGACTCCATCACCTCCCTCCTTACTCTTCCCCTTGCGTGTTGGCCGTTCTTCATCGGGCTCGGGTGTTGCTGCCTTTCGTTCTGTTGCCGACGCCCTGATGCCTCCTCCCTCCCGTGCACCCAATCACCCGCTTGTCGTGCGCTCATGGCACGGTCACAGCCCTCCGCCGTGTAAAGGAATGAAGGTTCGGGCTCTTGGAGGCCCGACTTCCTCCGCAGCTCGCGCACTCTATGCTTCCCTGGCTTCGTGTTGGCATGCCAAGTGCGTTCCACTGAGCCGAGCAGGGCGACGTCGTCCTCCTCGTCCGCGAGGTCGTCCTCCTCATCATTCTTTTGCCACGTGCGCACCAAAGGGCCATCTTCATCATCATCATCTGCAACCTCCGCCGCGGCTGCATCAACGACTCTCCCCTCGATGACCTGCGTGGTCCAATCTTCGTACCACTCGTCAACCTCCGTCTTTGCAAACTCGTTGTCCTTTCAAGGAATGTGGTTGTCCTCCGTCTCTCCGCGCTCCCTCCGAGTGGTCAATTGGATGTTCCAATTGCTGTAAACCAGCTTCGCCAGTCTCTCGGGCAGGAGTTTGGTGCGCCGCTGTCCGTAGATGAGCTGGTGCAAGCTCCAATTGCGCTCGCACGCGGCCGAAGAGCTCACCTGGCCGAGAAGCTTGATGGCCTGCGGTTGGAGGAGGTCCAATAATCCCCCGAACGCCTCCCACCACAGTGCTGGTGTTTGCACATTGGCCTGCTCCTTCGCGTTCAGTGTCCCGAGTGTGCCTGCCCCGCAGACCCAATTGTCGACTTGCTTGCTGATTTCCCTCAGCAACTCCGTTGGCGCCCACGAATAGAGCCAAATGTTGAACCCTTCGCGGATCTCCGTGTCCCGCAATGTCTGCGACCGGTACTCGGGATCGAGAAACGCCGCAGCGCAATGCAACTCGGATGTCATGAATGCCCACCGGTCCATGAGAATGTTCTCCACCGCTGCCTTTTCGTCCTGCGTCAGACAGTCAAGGACCCGCATTCGCGCCACGATCTCGTCCCTGCCGAAGTACACTTTGCCGACAGTCGCTCCGGGACCGTCCACCAAACGCAGCAGCTTGACCACGGGCTTCATGACAGCAATTGCTCTGTTGACCTCGTCCCAAAACCCTTCGCTGTCCACAATGATGCGTGTGACAGCGTTGAATGCAGCCACCTGATCAGGCCTCACCAACTTGTCAACCCACGCCACGTTCCCGACGCACAGCTCAAGTGAGGTCCTCCCTCTCTTCAGCGACTCCAGCATTTCAAAGTTCGTTGCGAACCTCGTGACGGCTGGGCGTTTGTGATTCTATTGAACATCGCGCGAACCTTGTCGATGTTCGTCACAAACTTGCCCACTCGGTTCCCCTTGTCGACGACTTCCTTCATCCAATCCAATCGCTTGTACATGTCTTCTAATGCCAAGTCCAACGCATGGGCCGTGCAGCCCACACTGAAGATCCCAGGGTACTTCGCCTCCACCATCTTCCCGGCCTTTGCGCAGACCCTCGCATTATCCATCACGACGCCAACGATGGACCGCGGACCGACCTCCTCGATGACTCCTTCTAGCAGCTTGAAGTAAGCCACTGAGTCCTTGTCCTTTCCTTCCATGCAAACGGACTTCCAAAACACTGTGCCAATCGGGGAGGAAACCATCACGTTGAGATGTGGTTTGTTCCTCCTGTCCGACCACCCGTCCATTTGCAGCATGCAGCCTGTCCTCTCCCACCTCCTCACAAGACTCTTCATCTCATCCCCAACAATTTTGCGCTGCCCGTCCAACCGCTTCGTCCTCATCTCGTCCCTCTTGCACGACCACCAACTAGGATGGCTCTTCTTAACTGCGTCGATGAGCTGAAGGAAGTAGTGGTTCTCAATCAAGCTGAAAGGTTGATTCGTGCAGATCAGGAAACGGTCCAGGTGTCTGCTGGTCTGCTCATTCCGGGTGATGATGCTGTCTGCCTCCTCGATCAGCGTTTGCCTCGTCGGCCGTCCGAGCAACGGTGCAGCGTTCCCGGATGTTGCTGGTGTGGTTGACTCCCCAATAGCTGGAACAGGGGGCCTGCCCACCATCTGTCTCTTATACACATCTTTGCTGGTGTGGTTGACTCCCCAATAGCTGGAACA